CACGTTGATTGCTAGGGCATGAGGCATTCCTGGGGATGCGTCATGCACTCTACTTACTTAAAAGGCGACGACTTCAGGAGATGTGGACTAAGCCACTAGTTGTTGTTCTACGATTGTTTGATTTCTATCAGTACCGCTATGGGACACAGTCGCGAGCGGACTAATACTTCCCCTTCCAATACCGTCCCGATGATATCAGCTATGCTCACCCACCTCGGTCTCAGGATATCTGTCAACCGCGGGGTCTTTTCCTTCCTTTTTCCATCCTCCCTCCTTCTTTTTCTCCCTTCCTTTTTCTCATCCTCCTCCCTTTTTTCCCTCCTCTGAATGTTCGAACAGAAGACGCGATGAGAAAACACCTCTGGACCCTCACAGCGAGAGAAGGATCGGGTTGACAGATGCCTTGTAACCCTTCACTTCTCTCAAAGATGAATATGAAAAATTAATAACCATGTCCTGAGGTGCAAATAACATAGTGTAATTAATAATTGTTAGACTAAATGCAGATTTTAATTTATTCAACACTTGCATTTCAGATGACATCGCACTAGATGAACGAGTGGTTCGAGATTGCAGAATGCTTGTCGAGTATCGATTATCTATGGAGCCTGAGGTGCCTTTTCCTTCATCGAAAAAGATGTTTATCTTTCTTTCTGGGGAACAAAGTAGTTTGGGGGTGCCATGCGACGGAGCGACTGCTCCACGTCGTGTATGAACCTGCTTATTCTTGTCTTGTCACATGGCACCCCTAGTTACATTTGTCCGCCCCTCAGGGCACATCATTGGTTGGATATTTTGGTCAACTCCGTACGACCCCCTTTTTTGAGTGGGGTTGGTACGAGGTACGACCCCCCCCCTCTGGCCCTCTGTCCCTCCTCATCGAATTGTCGAGCGGTCGGGAGGGGGGGGGGGTAACGAGCAGAAGGCAGAAAACTAAACATACCACCCCCCTCTTCAACAACCGAATCAGGTATGAACCCACTTGACAATGTCCGTGGAGCTGAGAAAAATAACTTACAAAATAAATTTTTCTCAGCCCAAACTAACGACTCCCCTCCTCTCGTCCGGCGGCCCAGAGATACGATCTCGCCGTGGTCGGTATTCACATCGAAAGATGTGCCCCGCGCCCACCTCACGTATTTTGCCATGATGCCTCCCACACTCCGCACCATTTTTCGTCATATACTGTGCACCTTTTTCATTCTAATCAGAACATCACCAATACGATCAGCGTGGACTCTCCCAGATTCACTTAATCCCCTCAACATTAATGTTTTTTCCCCTCTTTATCCAGGGCGCATCATTGGTTGGGGATTTTAGTCGAGTCTGTACGACCCCCCCTTTTTTGGGGAGGGGGGATTGGTACGACCCCCCCCCCCCCCTCCGGCCCTCTGTTCCTCCTGATCGAATCATCGAATCAGCCGTCGAGCGGGGGAGGGGAGGGAGGGCATATATGTAGTACGCATGAAACAGGAAAATCACCAAAAGTCAACCGCCACTCCCACAACGCCAAAACGTAAATACGACCCCCCCCCTCCCAACAATGACCAAGTACGACCCCCTTTACAACGTCCGTGAAGCGAGAAAAATCAACTATCAAAATAAATTTTTCCCAGCCCAAATACGACCCCCCCCCCTATTGGGGATTCCGCAACAGCGATGTGCCCTGTCTTTATCTCATGTTTTTCACGAGATCTATTCCGTTCTAGCACTAATAGATAACTTTCTTCAGTTGGACAATCATCTACAACTACATACGCGCCGATCAATAATCGATCCGTTCGGTGATTTGGTCGATCGAATAGTGTTTGCCGCGAATGGAAGTGTGCTCTACATTCGTCTACTACTACGGTACGTCAAATTCTGCGAAACTGTTTTTCGGAGAGGGATCTTTATACCGGACCTAATAAAAAGTGGTCTCTGAATATGACTGTTTCTTTCAGGCTCGTGGAAACAGGCCGATTACCCTTGAGATACCTGATGCAGACAAATTTACCCACGGACGATCTTGAACTCTATGGATTAATCATGGAGCTGACATTCACGTGAGTTTGACTTCAATTTCGAGAAACTGAAGCAAGCTATGCAGTCCCTGTACCGATGGAAGGCAAATTCGGCGATAACGAAATGGGCGGAGACAGAGAACAGTTCATTTTCTCTTACTACTTTTCCCCTATCTCTCTAAGGCGGGATGTGCCACTCAGGTGACTCTAGTATGTCTCCGCCCATACGTTTAGTGCAGAAAGTGCTTTTGAAGTGCACGTCTATTTCTGGGTAGCAGGGTTGAAAGACAGTGTAAACGCGGTGTCCTCAAAGTGGCTTACGAGATCCATCCCCAATCGACTCTTTCTGTCAATCATTCCTGGAGCGTAGGGTTAATGAAAAGGTGACTGCGATGCACACGCAGACTATGGGCGACATCCCATGAGTACTGGTCAGGAGATCCGAGCGTCGAGTGTAAACTTGCTTGCCGCGAGCGGCATATAGCAGCTAATTAACCTGGCTCGCTGTAACCCTTAATTAACCATAAGTTAATCTTCTAGTTTCAGTTCTCCGGCGACATTCGCCCGAGTTGTGCCAGTATTGGATGTGTTTCTGGCGTCACTTCGCCCACTCGATCGTAGCACACTCCTGTCAGTATTCAATTCCTCCGAAATCGGATGTACCAATGATGGATTTGCAGTTGGATGAAATGTGAGTGCACACATCCCGTTTATTGATTTTCTGACTAAACAATGATAATTCGAGTGCACAGTCCACGTTGCTAGTATGGGCGGAGACATGCGCAATGACGGGCACCCAGTGCACCTTCATTTTCGAGCGCCTGTTCTCCTCAAACGGAGTGAGTAACAAGAGCGGCTTAATGACTCCCTGTCTCCACCCATGCGATCAACGTTGACTATGCCTTTAAGTCCACTTTTACGGCTGATATAAGTGTTGAAGATTTTCAGCCTGGCAATTATGACTCCACTTTTGTCATTTGCCAG